GGAACCACTGCGAGCCTTATTGAATGTATTCACTCCTTCTGGCGGTGAACATCTCTTGGGAAATTTCGGATGTCTTCCGCTCTAGATTCTGCAGCTCGAAGCAGCGCCAGCTCGATAATCCTGATTCGAAAACGCGACATTCCGTCGAGGATCAAGGCGGCGGTAGATTCTCTCTTAGTCCCTCCGACTTCGACTCGTTACAGAGCGAACTGATCACGCTTTTCTAACCCAGAAGGAGTAACACAAATAATCATACTGATGATCTTCCTGCCGTAAAGCTTCGCAAATTCTTTCTAGGTCTCAATCATCTGGGTGTATTCTTCCTGGAGATTCCAGTGACGCGGAGTATGTCAGTTAATGGATCAGCGGCACCCTCCGGAGAATTAATCAGATCCCGGAGAAAAGAGGAGATCCAAACAAAGAAGTTCTCGAGCAACAATTAGCCGAGACCGCAGAACGTCTCCGGTGTGGAAGGCTCAATCTGAATCCTTCAGGAGCGTCCTTGCATCTGCCCCTGCCGTGTGCTTGCGCGGGCCTGCTGCCATCTCTGATGCCGTCCCTCGGCCGCCGATTTTTCCGCAGGCAAATAAGCGCTACAGACATCCGTCCTATCGCTGGTTGGGCGCTTGGAACCTGAGTGCTCCCGCGAATTTGCATCTCTTGAATCAAATCGAAGGAGGCACTGTCCACAGACGAATCATTATCCGAGCTCCGCCTCGCGTTAGAATCCTCGCCGCCGAATGGAGTGCGGGAACTTGTGAAATTCTCCAGCTTCCAGGTCTTGATGATGCCATCAGCTGCACGGTCCCACGCAAGGATTGAATCAAAGCGCTAGCAGAGGGAAAGTTGACGGCAAACGATGCCATATTTCCTCTGATTTTCTATTGGCAGCGCCTCAGTCTCGTCTAGCCTCCGACGCCCCTTCGCGCCATTCTCGTGCAACGAGGCTGTGTGTGCACTGACGGAAACGGGGATGCTTCCAATGGAACCCGAAGAAGCCAGGAATCCCGGTCGCCCTCAACCTCCATCTGGGGCCTCGTGATCCCGAAGCTACCGTCGGGAGGGCACGGCAGACGTACATATTAAGCGTGTCGCGTATTCATTAGAGCGTCAGATTGGAGCGACAGCTTATTCCCGCGTCGCCGTCGAAAACATCTGAGACTGACGCGATTAATCGGCTGAGACGGAGTTGTTGTTCAGCGGGGGAAGAAATCCGCACGCTAATCCGCAGACTTCGCAAGTCAAGACGCAGAATCTTCGTCCGCGGGAGCGCACGTCGGGTGACGAGGAGATTCCACTTACGCTCCCTCTGAGAAATGTTCCACGAATAGAATCGTGTTGCGCAGTCCTTCCCGATGGGTCGCGAGCGGATTCTCGGAATCCCCTGTTCCGCTTCTCGGGACCGCGAGGGCGGACGAAGACTCTCAGTGTTCAGCCGTGGCGACATTAGAGGTTCGCGTGTTATAAGACAAAGCCTTCGAGTAGCGACCCGTAGCCGACATGGCTCTCCAGAGTTTTGGACATTTAGTCGTTGGGTCACCGATTCCGTTTCGTACAATTTGTCGCCAGGCCTCGACCGAATGAATGGAGGGTGAGACTTCGAGAACGACAGTGCGTGATTCCGTTTTTTCTCACACGGAATAAACCTGAGATTCACCGGATCTCCCACATGAATTCGACATCCTTTTAAGGTATGCGTTCGGTGGATCACTCATTTTTTTCCCTAACGGTCACAATCCCAGTTTCGAATCTGTGATTTTCGGGAAACTCATTGAGACGTGGAAGAGGGGAGGAGCCTTTCCCCGGAGTAAAGTTCCGCACACCTGTCAGAATGGCGAAATCACATGAACGCCGCTGGCTGATTCCCCGCGGGGAATCCTTCTTCTGCCGGAGACTGTATGAACTCCGCTCCGGAACTCGGAGCTCGTTGGCTTAACCGGGGAAGAACTCCTGCCAAAGCAGCTAGCGCTGACTCCCGACGACGAGAGCCAACAGACGACGACGAGTCTCCCTTGATATATCTCAAAAGCCGACGGCTTCCGAAGCGGAGGCCGCGAAATCACACAACTCAGACGCTGCCGGGAGGTTCTTCCCGGGAGCTGCCTCGAGAAATTCTGGACCAGATTCGAATATGCTTCTCCCGCAGCGGATTCATAAGGCACAATATTCCTACACAATATTCGTCGAGGTTCGTAGCGACTATTCTACCTACTCCCTCATCTTCATGGATGCCAGTCCAGAGGACGGATTGAGAAATTACTGCTCTGTCTTCCGTTAAAGGACACTTCTCGATTTGAGTCCTAAACTCCGATCTGTGTCTCGATTGGGGTGAGCGCAACGGGGAGTCCGTTCCTAGCTTCCACAATGATGTACAAAATCAGACTGATATTTATTTTCGTCTGGCGAATCACTCTGGAACTCTCGTCTCTGGACCTTGAGGTGAGAAATTCGCATTACAGCTCCAAATCGGAGCTGTGTCTCAGAAAGTTTGCATCATCCGAACGGTTCGTCAAAAACAATCCATTCCTAAGGGCAGGAATGGACTATTTTTCAAGGAATCAGAATCCGCCCTCCACGTCTCCACACATCCGAAAAGGCACGCACCGATTTCCGCGCAGCGATTCGGAAATGAAAAGAGATGGGTGCTCACCCTTGTCTGGGAATGAATCCACCACCCCTCCTGGCCTGCAGATTTCGCCTGGATCACATAGCCCTAGATTCATGGACTTTCAAAACTCCCGTCCGAGGCTGCCCTCATGGCCCGGAAGGCTCCCCCGACACCTCTGAGATTCTCGTGGACCTCCGGGAGTCTGACTCGAATCGCTCGCCTTGCGGCAAGGATCGCATAGAGGAGTTCCACCCGATATCCACAAGGGGTTCCCAGAGGCGACAAGTTTCCGCATGCTGGTATATGGTATCACCATCCGATCTCGCTATCCGCTCGGGACACCTCCTCGATCTTTGTTGCAAGGGACTTTCGCGATCGCAGGCTATCATGGATTTTCCTCTGACCGGTAGCAGAAATGGGAATGATCTTCCCCTATATCATGCCACGAGTCACGGACCAGTTCTCGCTAGCTTCAGAGGATACAGATTCTCTCCGTCGTCCATCGACCGCCCGAATCCCTCTTTCTGTGATACGTGAGCTTCCGATCGGGGTTAATCACGGCAGCTCGTAAGCTTAAAGAGGAGCTAGTATACATGCTCCACTACAAATCGGGAAGCCCTGAACCGCCCTTCTCCCTCTAGAGGTCGTGTATTTGATAAATAACGTGTGCCGACTCTCCTTTAGAAACACGGCGCGGGACTCCTCAGGACTGGGAATTCAATGGAACTATTCACATTCATTTCTCGATTTTCCTATGAGCTCATCGCTCCCACGATTGTGTCTGAACTCTACACTCCGATGCTTGTAGCTCTCGCTCGACGGTTACGCATTTGGAAAAAGTATATCATTCTGAGGGCAGAATTCCAGGAGAGATTCCAACATTACTCCTGATCTTCCGTTGAGTTTGTGAGACGGAACATCGAAGGAAGGCCGACAATCGGACGGAGCAGAGCCACGCAAACATTCTTTTCTTCCGCTTCACCCCCATAGGCTCGAGCCAAACTCAAGCATTCTTTTTTTTTGTCGCTGAGGAGGAGTGCGCCAACCGACCGACCGACCGACCGACCGACAATCGGCAATCCGTCGCGATACGACACAACTTTCGCCTGTGTGCATAGAGTTGTCAATGTTACAGGCGAAAAGTATCGCATGATTGCCCCCGCAAATAGGGACTTTTTCCACTCATTCTCCTCGCTAATTGCTTCCGGTGCGGAACTTGGTCCCCAAATAGTCGGGAAGAGTAGAACTTCTCTCCGCCACGCCCTGTGATCATGTTCGTTCGGAATGAGACGCGTTTTCAGAATCGCAGAAGTCACATATCAATGAGTCCCTCCACCGCCTTGATCGCAACGCAGTCCAGCTCCTCGTCCGGAGAGAATTGTGACCTATGCGGGTCTTGTCGCTGCAGGAAAAACTCGTTCAGGCTGATAGAGACCGAGCTTCGCTGTATCCCGATAAATTCCTCAATTCGAGCATCGCTCATGCTTGGCGTTGGATGTTCAAGTCCTCCGGAGGGAATCTCAATCCAGGACAAGAATCACGTTCGGATCAAATATACCCCCTTGCGCGTATTCTTCCTGGGACATGGCCATACGTGTGAAGGGGAGACTCCCACGGATCTACGAAGTCGTGATCTTCAACAATTCTCGTAGGTTACCAGCGGTCCGCGAGTCGGGGAGGCCGAATCCTTTTCATTTCCGAGCCCCAGCACGGCTCGGCCGTTGCTCCCATTGCTCGCGGGTCAGCGCCGTGGCGCTCCCGTTGCCCAGTTCCGTTCCCTCAAGAGTTATCCAAAGTGGAGATCTCATCCGAACTTCTCGAAGAGAGTCGAAGGGCTGAGTTGCTAAGGAGCCCCAATCCCTTCATTCCAATCGAGGTCTCGATCGTCGGATGCTCACATATCTTCTTCTGTTATCATTCCTCATCAAATAATGCACTATTGATGGGCTCTTATCAGCAAGACTGAGCCTGAGTACGGCTTCTCCCGAGAGTATCGGAAATTACCTTCTTGCGTTCCTCTGTCAATGCTATTCAATACTGTCTTAGGATGTTTGTCAACTTTATCATGTTATCTTATGATTTTATCACATTCGGGGCGTGAGCTGAACTCGGGAGAACATCTCATTTTCCTGCATCTCGCAGAACATAATTCGCTCCTATCGACTGCAGCTCTTCACCGTACTTGACGTATCCGCGTGTAAGTATTATTATCGAAACCATTAGGGTATTCTGAGAGATCCTCCATCAAGGCCCTCCGGAGCCATCTAGGAACACTGCACGTATTTTTCCCTCGATTCTATCCATGACATGTAGCTCTTCAGCGGAACTTAGAGTCCTTCTGTCGCGGCCCTATTTCGGGACTGTTCGTGGACGGGAATACACGTATACTCACGGTGTATGAGGCTGTTGAGCAGGTTTGATGGAACACAGACAAGAAGAACAATGATATCGATGCAGGCGAGGTTCACGATCAGATAATTCGTCACCGTGCGCATTCGAGGCGCGCGAATCACCACCCAAATAACACATGAATTTCCCACGAGGCCAACAATGAACACCGAAAGATAACCCAATATGAGCAGCACACTGATGTCGATTTCGTACCGATAATAGGTAAGTTTCGGATGGCTAGTCGTCGAATTGTCAGCGTCGACGAGAACGAATGATGAGTTTTCGGTACCTCCCGACATGTCAAGGGTCTGCGCGGGGGAACTCATTGTGGAAGATCGGATTCCAGGAGAGTCGTTCGCGAACATTAGCAATGACAGTCTCGTCCACCCTTGTCAGCATACATGCTAACAAAGACAAGAATACGGTGATAGGACAGACTTCTCCGATGCGACGCACTCTCACTACGGCTCTCTCCCTCACTGCCAGAAAATGGGGAAATAATCAGAGGAGCGAGCAAGTCGACGAACTTCCGACTCCGTCCCGGCAGGACTGCCAGAAAGCCGAACCGGAGGGCTCCCCCTGAGAGGAAAGTACCGCGCCCTTTCCCCGCAGCAGAGGGTAACAGAGTGGGTGCAACCCACAAGAGGCAGCCCCGATTCTCCAATGGTGAAGAGGAAGCCCAGATCTGTTCATACATTTATCTACCACGCACATCGAGCTGCGATGTGGAGCTTGAAATCATATCCAAGAGACCACGCTTCTCCCCCATTGATTGGGCGAGTCTGGTCTCCGTAGTCTGAAAGAGCGTAGCCTTGAAATCGCCTTTGCATATAAGTCAGCCACAATGGCGCGCGCGCCGTTCTGTTCCCCGAACTTCCTTATATGCATGTACTCCACAAAACGTCGAATTTCTCGCAGCGTTGTTTTTTCTGCGGGCGATTCCCCCCGATGGAATCCGGAGCCTGCTAGAAAACTCTGAAAGTCGATGATTTCTATAAAAGCTTCATTGTACGATTATTTGGTCGAAGGAGCCCACTTGACGGAACATGTGCGGAAGACAAGGAATCGAATGGACCCGAGACTGATGCCACGAATAAGAAGAGGCCGTTTCACCGAGAAAGAAAGGAAATTCGAAGATGCGGCGTCGGGGACGATCCATTCAAGAGAGCTTCTGGGCGAGAGTAACTCTGGAACATGGCAAAAACAGGGAGCTCGGGATTTCCGAGTCGGACATACACGCACTCCGACTCCCCGTCCCATACCACCTCCAATCACAGGTTCGGTCCCGGAGGGATACCAAGAGCGCAACTTTCGTCGGAGATTCGATCCCCAATGGACCCGGTTCAGACTTCATTTTCGCGCTCGATACAGAGTCCATCTTTAAAACTCCGAGGCGGGGGAATTCCAAGCTCGAAAAAGGATCGTTCGGCCGGGAAACAGCAGCGTTCGGCGAGGGAGGGGGTCTCACTGGGCTATCAGAATTCTATGACGATGGTGCAAAAGTCCCCTAAACCGACGCTCCGCTTGATCGGATTTACCGCTCATCCAGATTGAAAGCCGAAGCCTCGAGTCCCGCTCTTCGGATGACTCTGCTCAATCAGCCCTCTTCTCAGGGATCCAAGTCAAGTTCGGCCTGATCCGTGATTGACTGCGATTCTTGAAAGCAATCGATATGGACGAAGAATCTCAGCTAATATTCACTGACTCCTCTGAAGATATTGTCGTGAATTCGGGGTTCGAGGAAGAATTTCCGGAAGGTCGAAAAGGGTGATGATGACGATGCTTGGCGCCCACCCGATTTCCCTCGAGGATCTCTCTCCAGGCATATTATCGAGAGGAACGAGGTCGGTAGTCCGTCTGTTCACTTCGGGGAGTCCGCCCGGTTGATCCCTTTTGTGAGGGAGAATCAAGCCCGGAGATGAAGCAGAAGTGAACCTCCATAGACAGTCATCAGTCATCAACATTGATATTCTGGTCTGCCTGGAGACGGAGGATGGAGATGTATATCGAGAGTCCCCGTCTGTAGCGCGGAATCGGCTCGAATCCGTAGCAGCGTGGTGCCGACGGATGCGCGGGACTGGGAACGTGTTTCCCTAGACGTTCGTCTCCTCATGAGTAGACCAGACTTCAACGTCTGGGGAAGCTCCTGTGAGGTCGAGTCTCCCCAGCGAGTATCTCGATGAGTGCAGCTCCATGAAACCATTGACCGAGTATTCCCGACTCGCCAGCCTTTTCGGAACAGAATACCCTATACCGACGTGATTCCGCTGGGCGGAGTTTGCTGCATCGAGGACCGTCGTGATGACAGCCCACACGAGACGCTCTCGGGGACATGATTTCCCAAGCGTGGAATCTCAACTCCGGTGCCTAATTATATCAGGTATCACAATTTTGAAGATTCGTAAGCCTCTGTCGCGGGCAAAATCGAGAAGCGGCTCCTCAGAGTAACCGCACAATGTTGGAAACATCGAGCGGTTGGAGCAGCAAGAACGTCCATTCGCTAACAAGTGCCCCGCGCACGGAGAGCTCGACACTGGCAAATTTGAAGGGCAGCTCAGCGAGCTCGGATATTCATGCTGCCAGCTATCCAACTAATAAGCACGCGCCATAAGGCGTCGAAGCTCAGCGCTTCGCGGAGCCATCTGTAGCCATTGAAGGATATAGTAAAAAAACTCCATGTATTGTCTAATTAGGTAGTGCGTGATACGCCATCCTCGAAGCACGGGACACCATTACCGTTCGGTTTCTCTTGTGGTAGAGCACGGTCGTCTCTGATTTTCAGAGACTAAGACCTTACGTTTCTCCCAGATATGTTCGGGATCAGATTCTCCTATTCCAGAAGGACTCACAGCAATGAGGTTGCACACGAAACATGATCGTGAGGATCTCGTTATGCTTCGACCGTCCCCGGGGCAGAGAGCTCCGTTCCCATCCACCATAAGGAAGATTCAAGGTCCCAACGTAGCTCGGTTCTACTGTCGCATGCCTGGGAATTACTTGGAGATGATGAAATTCTCGACAATTCACAGGATGGTTACCGTATTCATTCAAACGGACCTTCCCCAGATATAGATTCGCTCGTACTCTCGAAATATTTCCAATGACAAGAAGACAGATCGTCGGATTAGAGCCAACAATACGTCCCGCCTCCATCTTTTCCGAATCAGTCAGACGGACTGAATTAGAAAAAAGGAGAAGTTCAGTATCTGACAGTAATTGGACCTGACTCGGAGTAGGCTAATTCCTGCGTGCTGCGACGTCTGTCAGGCTATTTGCGCTCTTCCCATCGGCTGGGTAAGCTTTAGAGAATGTGACACGGCGTGTCAACGAAGCATATTCAGGCGCTTTTAAGAGTCCTCGAGTGGAGAGGGAGGTATTCAATGGGCTGTTTCCCCCCACTCGAGACGAGAGCCTCCCGAAATCAACAGGCTGCTCGGGCGAGCTCAGCTAGGTGGCTGGTGAATCCACATACATGGCCACTATGAAATTCCAGGGGTTGCTGGCGGGCTTTGATAAGGAATGACTGTCTCGGGCTATCGAATACTCTATTCGCCTGTATCTCGCCTGTGCTGCCTACGGCCTGGATCTCGACCGACCGAAGATCCACTCACGAGTCTGGCGCCTCCATCAGCCAACGCGAGAAGGTGCCTGCGTGCGCGTCGTTCAAGTCTCTTCGTATAACTTATTCAATCGTGCTAGTGTTAATGACTTCGATTCCGCAAGAACAATGCGGTTTCGAAGGCAGCACTCTCACGGGCCGGCGGCGCACATCAGATCCCGAGACTGTGTTCGCCCCGTGAGCTCTCACGATCAGTCTGATACGTCACACACCGGTGCTGCGAAAAAGTCTATTTCGGGTCGACCATCCGTGAGGGAGAGCACAACATTGCTGGAGCGACTAAAATAATGCCGGAGGTCTCGGGCTCCCTGTGTATTCTGCGATTTTTCTCTACGCTCCGAAATTCTACTGCGGCACGTTCGTTCGTTCGTTCTATCATTTGAGACTCAGAGAAGTATCGAGAGAATTCGGCGCAATCTCGTGGACTCATTCCCTTCAGCCGACTTGATCCTCATGAAGACACAGAGTGCGATGGAGGGTGAGCTCTGTAGCCCCGCTAGAGCGTGCTGCGCGGGAGACCTGTGTTTCTCAAAAGGGGGTCCAGGGACTCCTCTGTCGGTGGAAATGAGTGATGTTGTTATCCCATAGAGAAATATTTTCGATACAGCTTGCGAGGATATCGACCAGCTTTGCTACGTCTGAATTTTTTCGCTATACTTAGAGGGCATATTCAACGGACAACAGCGAAATATTCTTTGTCTGGCGAAGCTACCGGTTAGTTCTCTCGGAGTGACATCGCACGGGGTCCCGCGTTCTTTCGAGGACTTTGGAGGGAGACAAAAACGGGGAAAAGGGATAGCGAATCGCTGCGCTGGACATTGTGAAGAATTATCCTCTCCATGCGGCAGAAGTTCCATACTTACTCGTTTGAATTAAAACGAGTTGATTGAGCGGGTGAGACTCATCAAATCCTCCCCAGATTCGGTCGTTCCGAATATTAGAGAGCCTCTTCTGGGGTTGGCAAGAGCAATGAGGGGGATCCTACTCCTTCTCGCCAGAATTCATCATCTTCCCATCGTTCAACTGCCCTATCTCCATAGAGTCCCGAGAGATTGGGGTTTTCATTCTCAAAATATCCCTTCCACATTACTCCCGTTGTAGCACACTCGTCGGATCCGTGGATTCCGTCGGAAATTCGCTTTTCGGCTCGAACCAGCCTCGAGCAGCGCTTCATGTCCAGAGGACTTTGATGGATGGCTTGCAAAGTCGCTGTTCTCGACGACATTGACAGGATATTACACACGGACAAGAAATCCGGGGTCGGGCGCACTCTCCGCGATCTGCCACTAGCTGGGACAAAATTCTCTTTGTACTTCACTACGCTGAAACTTTCCGCTATTCTGGACCTTTCTGGGAAATCTATTGATAGAAAAGCCCTGCTGGACATGTCACCTTCATCGGCGAGATAATCTCTTGGAGTGCCTGCCCCTCTAACCCGCCCGATGCCCCCGTTGTAAACGTTCGCACTCGAGAATAATTTTATGCGCGTCTTTCGTGAAAATCCGTGTATTTTGATTTCCATCCTTCGCTGCATCCTCATACAGCTCGAGAGAGTCGGCCCGCAGGTGCAGCTCAGAGACATCGGATACGGATGCGGAGAGAGGAAGTACCTCGCTCCTCTTGGTGCTGCCTCTCCGTGCCAGATTTTTGCCGCTCATCATCTCGACTCAGCTATTTTGACTCTTCTCACGATTAACTACGGATGAA